CAATGGTGTTTCTGCTGTTGTAGATCCCTTCCTCAAGATAAGAGTGACTAAAGCTGTTTTGATATTGGCTTGGTAGAGCCATGAGCCCTTCTGCCTCAGGGTACATAGCTTGCATTAGCAGAAGGATGGAGAGGAAAAAGGYGCCTGAGGAGAAGGGAGAAGGTCTGTCCTTATGGGCCAGCCTTRCCACAGATTTTGTCCATGGAAGAGTTTTATAGCTCATAGCACAGACAGACAAATATCTTCAAGGAAGAAAATTGCATTGGTGATTTGCTCTTTCACCTATTTTCAATATTCAGTGCTACCCAGAGAGGGGGTATGTAAGAACAGGAAGTATTAAGTCTTATTAAGTAGATACAATTTCTACAAATATTTAGAAGCAACTGAACTTATTCTTAACTTCAGGTTTTTAACTTTTTATTATCTGTACTGAGCTAACATACAATAAACTGAGGAGAATAATTTTAAAAAGTGGTTTGTGTAAACCACCAAGGAGTTACAGCAACTTTAACTGAAGGCATTATTCCAAATCTGAAGTGGATGTGTAATCTGTGATGAGTGCTTGATACAGGTTAACCTCTAGTCAAGCTGCAGAGTCAGAGGGCCTTTATTTACAAAAAGAGAGAGATTGCCCAATGTGCAGCAGCCTTTGCTTACAGATTTACAGGGCTCTAGTTTATTACCCAGCATGTCAGCAAAATCAATATCTATAATGATTCCCATTATCAAAGCAGCATTTGCAGAGATGGCAGTAAAACATCACCTTTTCCTTCCAACTAGAAGAGAATCCTTTCCCRTGTGTCTTTATGCACCAGAACATGTGGATAAAAGTTATACCCCGTCCCTTCACAAAACGAGTTCCTAGGAAATCAGAATACCAGTGTAAAGGCTGTGCAAATGCCCTGTCCAAAGGATTGTCAGCCAAGGAGTGGGGATTTCATACAAAAGAAAAATAAGACCCCCTAAAAGGACATGGTCTAGCCATGGGCACTTGCAACCCAGAAAGCCAGTCATGTCCTGGSCTGCACCAAAAGCAGTGTGGGCAGCAGGGTGAGGGTGGGGATTCTGCCCCTCTGTTCTGCTCTGGTGAGACCCCAATTGYAGTGCTGCATCCAGCTTTGGGGTCCCCAGCACTGGAAGGACATGGACCTGTTGGAGCAAGTGCAAAGCCACCAGATTAATTAAAGGGATTTAACACCTCTCCAATGAGGAAAGGCTGAGAGAATTTGGATTATCCAGCCGGGAAAAGAGAAGGCAAAATTCTTTACTCTGATGAAGGTGAGGTACTGAAATGGGTTGCCCAGAGAAGTTGTGGATGCCYCTATCTCGAAGTGTTGAAGCCCCAGGATGGGGCTCTGAGCAGCATGGTCTAAGGGAAGGTGTCCTTGTTCACAGCAGGGGAGTTGGAATGAGATGGTCTTTGAGATTCCTTCCAAACCACTGTGATTCTATGATTCTGAAGTTTGTTTTCCTGTTCTATCAGCCTCCAAATTGCAGCTACTGCTCTACATCAAAACGTATCATGGTAATCTATTAGGCTTCTGCTGCCAGTTTTTGATACAAATCTGCAGCATGGCTATATAAACCTGTTCGTTGGGGTTGGAGGTTGTTCTGCACAGTTGTTATCCTGGCAAGGGTTATATTCCTTCCTTTGGCCTGACCTGCAGTTTTCCACCGCAAACTCTGTTGGTTGAAGTAGCTTGATATTCCCCAGYTCTTCAGGGGATGTGGTTCATTGCACGTCTCTCAGCACCTCACAGCAGTCCAGTCCACATAAACATACACACACACATGGTTAACAAGTGCTAACTAGCAAAATAGAAATATGTGGTCCCTTCTGAGCCTCTGAGATGCTTCTATTTATCAACTAATCTTTCTGATGGTCAGAGTATTTTTCCAGGCATCTCTGTGAATAAACACACTTTCCTGCAGGTATCCTGCAAAATATCCATTTCTCTCACTTTTCTGAGAGTCTGGAATTACAGCCTTCACTTGCTGTTAAACAACATTCAGGACAAAACATTTCCTGGCAATTCAGCTATTATGAACTATATATAAAGGGCCAAGAAGAACTGGAGACAACTTTACGTAATCCCTATTCGGTGTCCACCCAATAATTAGCTGGGCTGATAGGCAGCTAGTAGAGATCAATCARCAAGTAAGATGGAGTTGTCCAATTTTCTATGAATCAAGATCAAATTATTTGGTTATTATGATTTAGGAAATATAGCTCTAAAATAATGGGGAAAATGTTTTCAGGTGTGTGAATTTGAAGTGTTATACAATAGACTACCATTAGTAATATATACATTATAAGTAAAAGGAGAACGTACACTTCTRTGCTGACTAGTCTGAGATAGTTGGCTTAGATGTTGTTAAACAACGTTGAAGAAATTTTGASTAACTTACTGATGCATTAAAATAATGTTTTCAGGACATGCTGATTTACAGGATTTACAGAGAGCACATGCCTGTAAATTTCTGGACTGTAATTAAGAAGCTCAACTATGGAATAAAAATTGTAGACCTGTCCTATTTTATATTTGGATGTATTACGTTTCAGGATACAAAGTAGAAGATCACTAAACAGCAGTTTCCAAAAAAATTACCGTGATCTGAATGAATAAATACCTCTCAGAAGCTGCAGCATAATTTTTTCAGTTCCTTGTACATCTACTGTTGCTAAAATAACCTGTTGTGTTGGGTGGGTGAAGAGCTGGACAAGCCCAAGCAGCTGGGCTGCCCAGGGCCATATGGCTGCTCCCATTTCTGCAGCTACAGCCATGCCAACTGTGTCATATCAACAGAAAGAAAAAAAGAGTCCTCTTCTTTAACAAAGAGCACTGTTAGCTCTGGCAATACACTAAATCATATCTTGAATGGCCACCTAAATAAGAGAAATAGAGAAGTGAGGACCAAACAGTTGTACATACATAATAGTCCTCAAGTGACAAGTAAGGAGGCATTGAAAAAGTTTGTGAGGACTTGATTCCAGTAAAAAAACATGTAAGTCAAGATTTATTTATCCCACTTCCACATCAAAAAAAAAAAAAAAAAGGAAACCCAACAAAGCTACAACAAAAAAAAACCCTAGAAATTTCCAGCACCATTAGTTCTTCTCCTACCCTCAATTGATAAGACATAAAATACATCATCTTCATAAAGAGGATTAACTGCAGAAGTTTAAGAGTTATATAGAAGTATTAKTCAATCAATCATCTTCAAAGACTAAGGAAGAAAGAGTTGATTATTACCTATTATTAATCTTAAAAGGATTTTTTTTTAAAATTTGTGTCTCTTCACTTTCAGTCCTATAGCTTAATTTTAYGCATACCCATACACTTCAGTTTTTCAGTGCTGTACCTCTATCCTAAAACCTAAATTAGTTGGTTAAATCCATCCATGACATCTTCTACATATAGCAGAGTTGTGGTAGGATTTAAATGGACAAAATCTAATTTTTGTTTGTTTCTGAGGGAGCAGTTAAAGTGAACATTTCTTCCAAAGACCTCTGAACATCAAAACTAGAAAAACTAAGATAACTATAAGCATGCATTGAAAATATGTGACTGCTCCTTCTCTAGAGAGCATAAAAGGATACCGTAGTCAAGTGCAAACTGAACATAGCTTAATCAGGAAAAAAAAATTGTTATTTTCTACCTAACTTTTCCAGGTAAACTGTTTGGGACTAATTTCTTTCAGGCAGTTCTACTGAACAAACCTTGGTAAATATCTTCCCACTGAAAGGGTGATTATAACAACAAAACAAATTACAAGTCAGGGGTTTTAATGAATAACAAAAGCTTCTATCAAGTCCCTAAAGAGACTGGAGTTATTAACATTGCAGGCACAACCCTTGGCAAGAGAACAACTAGGAACAAAGAAGAATTATTAAAACAACAATAAAGTGTTTTAGATACATCAAGATCAATTAGGCATTAGTTTTAATGTAGCCTAAAGTTAAATGCTGTAAAACAACAGAGAATTTTCCCATTTGCATCATTTAAAGTTCAYAGCCCAAGCATAATACCATGTATAAAGAAACCAGAGAGCCTTATGTGAATTGTGTCAATTTTCTAATTACCTTGATAACATCAGGTGCAAACCTTCGAGGAAAAAGCTTTAAAGAGCTCTTGCAGGTACGGGTGTATCAGGAGAGTAGTAAGACTTGTAGGGAGAAGAGAAAGAAGGAACTGCATACTGCTCTGAAATTATTGTCCTGTCGCTGGTTGCAAGGACCAGTGAGGGATAAGAGTTASACAATGGTTACTGGAGCCTGGTTATCAACTCCAAACACAGCTTCTCAGCATGGAAAGAAGGACAAGGCGACTGGGCAAGTTTCTGCTTTGACATTTGCTTCAAGGCTGAGATGCTGCCATGTATTCCTGCTAGTCAAGAAGGAGACAATCCAAGCCTGGCTCCCACCTCCTGGCCTCCCTGCCTCCTCTGCAATGCCTGTGGATGGGGAAGGGGGGGAGCATTTTGTGATCTTCTTGGCTGGGCAGCTCCCTGCAGAGGTAGGAGAGCTCTGTCATGGAGGAGTGCAGTGGCAAGATCTCAGCTTACAGACACAGTTCCATCTTAGGGCTTGTGTAGGGCAACTGCCCTTGAATTCGCATCATGAAAAGCCTGTGCGCCACCAGCTTGTGCAGTAACTCTGTATGTTAGCTGCTCAGTGGTGGTGCTTACAGCCCTGCTTCTCTGAYTGGTAATTCCCTGCACCAGTTGCAAGAGTGTTGCCTATCTGCACAATGGGAATGGTCTGGACAACCTGCTGCCCCAGCCAGCTGGGAAGGACATGTGTCTGCACCAGTATCTCCACTCTGATTTTTGAAGGGACTTCTTTTGTAGTGACTTCTTCAACTGGAAGCCTTGGTGAATAAATACAGAAGAGGGTGTCTGGTGGGATGTTTGTATTTGGATGATTACTCTAATCTTTTTTTTTTTTTTTTTTTTTTTTTTTTTTTTTTTTTTTTTTGCTTTTAAGTTGAGGGGAAAAAACAGAGGGGTTTTTAATACTGTTTTTCACTTCTGCCTGACTAAATGATTCTCAAGTGGCATTCACCACTGTTTTAATTAAACGTGTCTCATGATTTAGAAATTATAAGCTTCTACTTTGAGGAAATGCCATGGTAAACTTTTATTTTGGCAGGGGGAAGCAAAACTGATTAGTAGAAGGATAGTGTCTGTTAACAGACAGAGAAGTGGGAAGAGTTCAGAAAGTGCAGCTGGGGGGACTAACCCCAGCAGTAGCGCCTGCACACTAATCCCTCACAACCCTTTGCCACAGAGGTTGGCTCTGCAGCTACTGCCTGAACTAGATGATAAGATGTGCACTGCAGCTGAATTACTTGGTTATTGTCATCTCCTCAGTGCTTCCCAGAACTCCGATGGAGAGCAGGAAACCAGCTATCATTGAACATCCCTTGAAGTGCCTCCTTAGGCCACCCCACATGCTTCAGGTGGCCCAGAAGGGTCCATTCTGGCACCACCAGCACAGGAGACCGCAGTCAGAGCCAGGAACCACCAGCTCCTCATCAGTCCCACACAGCAACAGACCATGACAAAGATTATATAAAAGCTTTACGTGTACAAGCTAAGGATTGGAATTTTTTCAGCTGTTTCACTTGGGCTCCTGCTTGGCACTCCTTCTTAGTGACCAGCTGTGGCTTCTCCATATTCACAAGAAGAAACCTGCATTTGTGGCTCTTTAAGAAGGTATGACCCTGACTCTCCAAGGACTGGGACATACAGCTGACATGAGACCACACCGACCWAAAATCAGGTCAGTGATTAAACTTCTTGATATTGGCAAGTCAAGTGTCAGTATCAGAAGGGAGCTCATGAAGTCATTTGCAGTTGTAGACTGAGAGCAAGAACTGTCTATTTAACTGTTTCTGAAATTTCAGCTTGTGGGGAGATGTAGCTTTTCTGTTAAGAAATGTGTGTGTTTGTTTAGGAGCTGCCACATTCTAATTTCCAGAAATGAAAAGCAGCAATAAATTTCATGTCCTGTGTTCTAGCTACTTTTGGTATAGCGAATATTGCTGAACATCTGTTCCATGGAAAAAAAGCCTTTTTCTTGCATTAGAACTTCACCTGGCCCATTTCTGAGATAGTTTTCAGCTACMCCTAAATGCTATAGCAGTGATGAGTCCCAGAACAGTCTTGTCAATGCATATGTGATGAAATTAGGGAAAGTCTACCCATGAATAGGGTCTATAATATTTCCAGWTCTCCTGAGAGCTTCCATCAATAAAAACTATTCCACTTCTAAAGCATATGTTTGAAGAAGGGGAGCTAAATATTTTTCTATTATTTGCCTGCTGGAATATTCTTTACTTGGTATCTGAGCACAGTGGTTGGCATATACAAATATTGCAGCTCATCTTTTAAAAAAACATTGTTATATCAATAGTAAAGAAAACAGTTTACATTTCAGATGAAGAGACAACAGTAAATCACAAAATATTTACTCTGCCCTGAAGAGCAGCATTTACAGACTATTTAACAGCAGTTTGTGTGTGCATTTAAAGATTATAAATATGTTTTTTAGCTAAAGTTTTTATTTGTGCGCTAAGTAGTTTTCTGTAAGTAAAAGGATTAGATGTTGTCTGGCATTTTTTAATTTATATTCTGTGAAAAGCAGTAGTGATTTAGATCTGAGTTTTTATAGCATGTAATGTGTGCTTAGCTTCTTATGGATTTTTTAGGTGGTTTTTTTTTAATAGATCATACTCTTTGTTTGTTTTTCTGGGGAGAACCAACRTAAGCTCATAACTGTTCTGCATGTAAAGCAATGTACAAAACCTAACCCCTTTGCCTTTGTTAGTTTATTGGTCTTACACCAWTGGCTAACATTCACCAAACAAGAACATATTTCACTGAGAATGGATCTTGGTCCCTCTGTTTTATCTAGTTTTCTCAAAAGAACCCCCAAAACAACAATAACAACAACACCAAAAAAAATGCAAAAAACCAAACATATGATCTCATCAGTTGACTGGAGGGGAAAAAAAGAAACAAAAAATACCTCCATGGAGCACCTCTTTTTGCCAAGATTATGGAGAAGTGAGGAGAGAAATTAGCAGGGAGCAAAGAAGGGCTAGGAAGAGCCCCGTTAGTGCACAGCCCTGGGGCACACTCTTGGTCTTTCTATGTCCGRTGAGCTGCATGAACTGGCAACAAGGGAATTTTTCACTGCTGTCATTAGGGTTCATCTGGTCACTGAACTGTATTGCAGGCCCCTCTCTAAGCTTTATTGATTGTAATGGTGGCAGCTGTGTTCAAGGATCAAATATGAGCTCATTTGCATGGAGATGTTTCCCATCTGCAAAGCCAAAGCCCAGTGAAAGTTCTCTGTCTCTGCAGCGCTGGAARGTTTGTGGCTCTGACTGTGAACAGCAGCTGCTCATGTGGAGGTGGCAAGAAGTCTGCTAGTTCTAAATGAAATATGGTTTGCAAGGATAATGCCTATGGGCACTTGGCTTCTCCCCAAAAAGATGGAGCTGCTGTAACTCCCCTTGTGGAGTACACCACCACTCACTGTTTCGAAGCACATGTTCTCAGGCCACAGTAAAGTTAAGTAGAGAAGAGCTCCCACAGTGGACCTTTTGCAGGACAAAATTCACAAAGAAGTAATTTGCTCCATAAATGGCATAGCTGTAGCAAAATCTGTAGCAGAATCTGTCATGTCAGATAACCCAGTCAGCATCTATATATTCTCATCTAATTGCTCTATAACTTGTGGCAATGATGCCTCAGAAGAAATTCCCCAACMTTTTTCACTGGAGCTGGCTTTCACTGGCTCTCACTGCCATAGCAACAGAAGTGCTGCCTGCTGAAAAAGCCAGCTGGGTACAGAACAGGTCACCAGAGTCCTTTAGAAACCCTGAAAAACTTTATCCTCAAAGAAAGAGCAAGAGGCACAAGCCTGAAGCTGGAAAGACAAAATAGTTTGCCAAGGGCGAGAATATAAAATTTACAGTTTGTCTGATAAAGCATATTTTTAATGTGTTTTTATTGACTTTAAGGATATTTAGGCACATTGTTTTGGGGGGARTTGGAGGGTAACAGGTCATGGGGAGCAGTTGTCACAGCTAGAAGTTATTTACAAAGCTGTAAGGACTGAGGCCTTATGGAAAAAGCCCCAGAGCTGCAAGAGCTGGCACAGAAAGGAGCAAATATCTTGCCCTTGGCTTCTTTTCTGCATTGTTCCACTCCCGCACCTGGCAGAGCAGATATAAAACACARCATGCTGCCTTCAGGAGTGATTGTTACAGTACCACATCTGGGGTTCCCAGACACAGCTTAGTCCCATCACTTGAGGCATCCTGGAGCTGTAGGAACCACTGGATCCATTTACCAGATCCAGGCAGGGTCATCTTCTGAGAGGAAGGCTTTTTAAAGAATTACAGTTCTTGAAGTATCCTTCCATTCTTAAGGCTGTATGTGATTGCAGGAGTTTACTCTTTCATGCTTAAAGCATTTGTGTAATGCTTCCTCAAACCTAAAAACTGTATRTGACAGCAACTAGGTTGGGAAGAAGATCATTTTTATCCCCAAGAAAGACTGCTGGGCTTAATCAAGGGAAGTTGGTGGATGCACAGTAGCAAAGGCAACCTGGCTCACTGACCTGAGACATTGTGCTGGCCAAGGAGCAAGAGCCTGACTCTGGTCACCTTTCCTTTGCCTCCCCTAAAGCAGCCTTTCCAAGTCACATCACTGGGCAGCAAAATAAAGCAAAAGAAAAGATGCCACTACCACACCCTTCCCCAACCTTTCTGTATTTAAAGAGGATAAGCTAAAAGTTGCTGGATGGGAATATGTATTGGGGATTCACACACATCCTTGGTACTGCAACCTTCTCTATTCCCAGTGCATACTAAGCAAAGAGATGATTCTGAATGCAGGAAACTTTTTATTCTTCAAAATGAAAACATTTTAAGATACCTACAAATGCTTGGGGTAGCAATTGTATTACTAAGATGTTAAGGATTTTAAAAATAATTATCAAAGTATGGTTGGTACAAGGAATAGATAAAAATGAAATCCTCTAAACACTTCCACACTAATGTGTGGAAATACTCAAACAGTCTTAACTTTTTTTATTCTTTACCTTTCCTACCTGTCTTTCAGCTTTTCATGTCTATGCATGTTATTCTCATAACCTTAATGTTTTACAGGGTCTGTAAAAGTCCACAGCTAACAGTTCTGGTTATGTTTTTCTTCAGCAAGCAGTTAATTCCAATGAGTGGGTATTGCTGTTTTAATTATGGAAAAGTCAATATACTTATGCAGCTTTAGGCAGCATGACAGACACAGCACAAGCCTTAGTACCTTGGTTTTCAAATTACTTAGGCATATGTATAACTTCATGATAACAGGGTCATCATAAAATGACTAACCCATAATTCTTGAGGAAAGTGGAAGGCAAAGGAGGCCATGTGTAAAAATCTATATATGTACTAGATAGCTTTTTTAAAAAACTCTTTCCCTCTTCTCCTTCCCTCCCTTCCAGGAGACTTGCATAGCATTCTTATTTTCCAATTCTTTGTAATTATGTTTCCCATAGTTCAGGGTTAACAGAATGAACTAGTTAGCCAAAAAGCTGCTGATGAGGCAAAACCATGGCATTCAAAAGCTGGTGGTATCTTGAGGAAGCAGAAACACAATATGCATTTTTGGTATGTAAGGGGCTTCAGCACATGCTTTGGCTAGGTCTGAAGGAAACAACAGGATGAGCTGTCATTTCATTGTGCATTGGGAGGTAGGTGAAGRAAGAAAAAAGCAATAATACGTGGGTACATCCTGGATTGTATCAGGAAGTCGGATTTCAGGTTGACAAATGTCGCACAGCACGCAGGGAGAGCACACACAGCAGSGGGTGTGGTGGAGGAATGCCGGCTGGCCTCAGGCAATGCAAACACTCGAGGAGCAGCTGGCGCAATCAGCCAAACCACCTCAGCCCGTTTGGCACGCTGATATACCTGTGCTACAGCATCACTGCCAAGGCAAACAAAGGTATCCAAGGTTAGACTCAGCAAACCCAGCCCAAATCACCAGGTCAGGCATATTGCAGACACTAATTACATGTGAGATAGGCTAACTTGTCATGAAACTAGATGGATATAATAGAAATAATAATAGAAAGTATAACAGGCTATAAAATGTCAGAAACAGTTGTCTGCAAAACCCAGGCAGATTTTAGATTAACGTTTTGGGCATTGCTAACTTGAGAAATGTGACATATTAGTCTATGATTTTTGACTGGACTGAAACTTTCCATAAGATATCTACAAGTTGCTACCACTTATCAGTGAAAATGTGGTCAGACAAAGAAAGAATGTGTTGCCTGTTAAAGAAATGTRTAGTGCAAATACTTTATGCACACAAATGCTAGGTGCAGTGTGGAGGCAATTGCACAAAAGCTGCAGCGTGTATCAGCTGCTGCTAAGGGTGACACGCCCTCGAGTTATAAAGTTGCACGTTAAGGGTAGATGTTCACAAGCTCCTCAAGCACAATAAGGAACTTGAAAGAAAAAAGGGTAACTGCTGTAAAGGATCCATGCTCCAAGCACAGTGTTTACAAGCCAACAGCACAAAGAAACTGATTTTTTGAAAATCTTTTAACTCTAAAAAGTAAATCTTTATAGCAGGGCAAGGGAGTCATGCCCACAAATCTCATTATTCTGAAAGCTGCTTAGAAACTTTAGCCTTTAGAGTCAACATACCACAATGCATTCAGAAGTACAATTTCAAAGAGCTATAAATACTTGTATCAGCTAATGTAAAAAAAAAAAAAAAAAAAAAAAAAAAAAAAATAAAAAAAAAAAAAAAAAAAAAAAAAAAAAAAAAAAAGGAAGAAAAATTAGGATTTAAAAGGATTCACAAGGAAATAATTGGGGGAGGGGGTGTAGAAGAAGGAGGTAATTGAAAGGGATTGGGAGGAGTACAGTAGGAAGTGGATGTGGTTAAGGCATTCACAAGATTAGTTAAAGAAAAGCCTAGTAAAACTGGAAGTAAGAAGCCAAATCCTGGGACAAATGAATATAGTTTCTTTGATGTATTTTGAGCTGCATGATTTATACATACTCAGCATCTAGCCTGTGGACCTTAAGAATGATTGGGTAAAAATAGTGATTTGAAACCTTAYTGAAATACTACCCCAAAAAAGCAGTATGCGGAATTTGATGCACAAAGGGTTCTTATATTTTCAGAAATTAAATACCCAGTCAGTGGTACAGAACAGCTGCAGTTATTTCAGCCTCAGGAGTCTTACAGAATTAAGAAACTTAACAGTAATAAAAGCTGTGACTTGCTATGCAAGCTGGTTTATTAAAAACAAAAATTGTCACAGGATTCCTTACTGCTTTAGAGATGTATTGTACTCATCTTCAAATGTCTTCACAACAAAGCAGGATGATAGGAATGTTAAAATTGGGGTGGATGAGGGCAATTTGAGGCAATGAGTTAGGCCATGAGTAAAGCTCTGGCACGCAAATGGTACAGATCCTAATTAGTACAGATGCACCTTTTGAAATTTCTGCGGGGTTTCTGTGTCTGTGGAAAACATATTGAAATCCCAGATAAGTAGGTTGTGTGTGCATGTGTGTGCGTGTTTGAGGTCTCAACTTCTTCCAGGATTAAGAGACTGCAAATACATGCCCCATCCTGTAGATGCTCTAATAACAGCCTGGGCTGGCCTGTGCTAGGCAATGGAGCAAACACAAGGATAGACAACGATGCACAACAGACACAGTGTAYCAAGCAAAAAGACAACAGAGGAAGAAAAAGAAAGAGCTGAACTGTCAGCATGKCAGTACCCAAACTTTGTTCTCCTTGCCAAGCCTGAAGAGCTCCTAGGATCTTTTTGCATTTTGCACACTGAAATTTTAAAACCAGAAGGCAAGGTAATCTCTGTCCTGATGATAAGCAGAACCTTTTCTAAGATGACTCCTATTTCATTTTCTTTGCTTCAGAGAGCCAGCGCCATGTTCAGAGCMCTGTCAGCATTCAGGAGGAATAGATGAGCACAGAGAGTTTCATGGTCTTAAAAAYAAACATTGTCAGCAGGATACATAAAATAATGTATTGAATTTGAAACACAGCATCACAGAAGAATGAAGAAAAGCAGATGCATCTGCTGATTTCTGGACTGATCGATTTACATAATGATGTTCTTTAACTATGCAACTTTATTTTAGAAGTTGGACAGGACAGCACTTCTGAGGTAACCAGCAATGGGCATCTGGCCTTTATTATGTCATAAGAAAATAAGAAGCCCTTTCTCTTTNNTTTTTTTTTTTTTTTTTTTTTTTTTTTTTTTACTGTGGCTCAAAGCTCATCAGGATGCTCATCCCCAGAGCCCCTGAGCTTAGACTTGGTGGAAATTTGGATGTGATCAGATAACTACATGAACATCTGTCAGCTTGATTTCTGCCACTTCTTTAGAGCTCAGGTTCTGGCACACTTTATATAAGGATTGTTGTAATGAAGGCATGTGCCATTATGCAGAGCTCAAATCATAAACTTAGGCAGGGTGCAGGTATTTGTTGAGGGCTTTGACTGTCGAAAGCTCTTGAACCATGACATCCATTTGCTGAATGATTCTGCCTATTGTTTGCTTTTTATACCAGGTCTCAGATTTCATCAGCGGCAGACTGGTATTACCCTAAAGTGCTGGAGGATTGTTTGATCACTGTGAGGAGCTCCTCCTACGCCTGCAAGTATCAGGGAGAAGGCTGTGACACCGACTTTGGAAAGGTCTAGTTTTATCTTACTCTGTGTAAAGAGTGTAAATCYTGATACTGTTGCTGGTCCTTTCCATGCACCATGGTGCAGGATGAAACATTTGTCTTCCTAATGGTGATTGTTGTGGATAATTGAATGGAGAGAATCACTTAATTGTACCCAGATAATTGACTAGGAAACTGGAATCCTGGTATAAGGATCCTGATGAGGAATTCATAATGTATGAAACAATCTTTCCTTTTTTTTTTTTTTTCCCTTTTTCCCCTTTTTTTCATTTTTTGGGGGTTTTTTGAGGGAGAGAAAAGAATAACAGACACAAAAAAGGGCAGTACAAGGGAAAGAAGAATTAGGTGAAAGCTTTGAATGGTCAGAGAGGACACTAATGATATGGAAGCAATTTCTAGCATTCAAGGCGTACAATGAACTGTTTTAATTTTTCAACAACAATGCAAATTAGGCAGGCACTTATAAAAACTTAAAAGCTCTTTTTAAGATAATAGCATGCATTTTACATGTACTATATGTACTTTCAGAGAATGAAAGTTATTTATCATTCTTGTCTAAGTTAATAGTGCATCTCTGTCTGGATTGCAAAGTTTAATTAACTTCTGTAGGTGTTACAAGGAAAATTATGCCTAGCTGAGTCTAAAAATCCACATTCTTGAATATAGGGAATTTCAAATTAACATGACTGATACACTTTTTGAATAACAACTTCATGTTTTTCTGCTGTGTGCAGGGCAATAGCACTCCAAGTTGGGAGCCTGTAGAATCCACACAAATAACACACCTTTCTTTCCCTCTCTCTCATCAAGATGCTATCATGAAGAATATAGATAACTCCAACAACTGTAACTTTTGCTCTGCTACTTAAGGCTGAATTTGAGATGTGGGTCACAAAAAAGGTGCTGAAATTTTAGTAGCCTAATGGCCATTGTACATGATGGGGAATTACAAGATTAGAGAACATTTGGGGTCTCATCTTGCTACCACCACCAAACCACTGTTTGTACAGAGTTTGAACAAAGCAAAAGGACAAAGATGCCCTAATCTCTCGATTATGGTACTCTGTCCTACATCATCAAGCTTCTTTTGCTATCTTACTTAAAGCATAGCACCTTGAAGTTTATCACAGTTAAAAACCCCAGTAGAAATCTAGTTCATCCTTCTGCTCTGAATTGGACTGCATGACTAAAAAAAAATCAGGCAGAGCCAAATATACTTAAAGGATTCTCAGAAACAGCCAGAAATGTGAGGCACAAAAAAAGAAGATGAGAGTTCCTCTCCTATGGTGAAGTCCAGTATCAAAGTAGGGGAAGAGCAATGCGAATGGTGAGGGCTCACACTAAGCTGGAGTGTTTTTAATATCACCTCACTGCCTAGTGTGCATTTTCCACTGCCAGAAAGACATTTTTTTTTTTACCTTTCTGTGGGTTCATGCTAAGACATTAAATGTGAGACAGCAGGATTTGGCACTTTAATTGCATTGGCTATAGATTTCAATATACCTATTGTACTTTTGCTGCAGGTGTACTCATCCTACATCTCAGAAAATCTGCTTGCCTGCTTCTAAAATGAGCTAAAACATAAGATGACTTCTCAAACACAGGTGGTAAGTATGTCAGTGGCCCACAATTGTACATTTGAAGGACAGATAAATCTTAACTCAGGCAAAACTCATGGCTGATACTTATTTGACTATTTCTCTTGTGATGTTAAAAAAAAAWTTGCAATATAGATTTTTTTTAGTGTATTAGTAATGAGTTATGAATGGCATTTCCTGCTTTGGCAATCAACTCACATAGGAAAGGAAACTGAGTATGTGACAAATCTGCATCTTATTTACATTTCTAATATTACATAATTCTGAAGATGTCAGTAGAAGCATTTAAACGAAGGTTTTGACAACAATCCTATACAAAATGCAGTGAAAATCCCTTTGATATTAACTAAAAGAGATTGTAAGGACATAATTTGAGAATTGGAGGGTGGGGTTAAAAAAACATACCTCACCCACTGTTAAAATATCTGGGCTGYTCTTCATCTGTGTTTTAAAGTGCATATTAATAGCTGTCCAATAACAGGTATTTCTTGCTCTGCAAGTGGTGAGTTGTCTTGTCATTTGGTACTTTATCATCAGGTATATGAAAAAATCAACTTTTTGCATAGATGAATGCATGCTTATAGAGCATTGAATTCAAAAGTCACAACACTTTGCCCTCAATACACAAATGTTGTCCTGCTTGAGACAGCTAGCACCTGGCAGAATTGCATATAACTTTGCATTGCTAATTAATGCTCTGGTTTAAATACTGTGATTCTGTGCTTCACAATTGTGATACCTGGAACACGGATGCAGTGTATCCTTAATTCAGTAAGTGCTCTGGGTTACTTTTCATTGGCCATCAGTTGTATATCCACTGCTCCACAGTGCTGGCTTTTAAGCACCTCCTGGAGCTGTTACCCRTCTTTGCAAACTGTTTATCTAATTCTAGTAATGACCATGACAGAAGCAGACTGCAGCTTAAAATGCACAAACACAATTTAGTTCCTTAACTTTTGCTGATCTCCAATAGACTTCTAGGTGGAATTTTAATTTTATTTTTTAGATCTTTTGTATTTTCTGATCTTAGTTGGATTAAGCACTTTGTATTCACATTTGCTATTAGAAAAAGTATGTGATGGCAGCATCAGACTTGGAGATGAGAGGGCTGGTAAATTTAATCCTTGAAACAATTGGGGGTGAAATCTTAGTTCTGTTTAAACCTCTGGCAACACTCCAGTWCTTTCAAGTGAAGGTATTCACCTCTATTAAATACTTTACATCCTAAGGGCTCTGTTGCATAAACATTAACTAGTTAGACAATGAAAAAAACCACTCCCATTTGCCTTTAGAAAAGGGAAAATCTTCTCCTAAGGTAAAATCTTTGCTGCCAGGTTTCTGAGGGATAAACTGACAGGTAATCCAGCAGTGATGGAATATTCTGGGATTAATTAGACGTGGCCTAGATACACACTGGAGAGTATCAGAGCTGACCTAAATGTTGGGAAGAAGAGTGCCTCTATCTCCGGCTTTCTTCTAATCAGCCCTGACACCAAAGACTTAGGAGGGCAAATTTGGAGAGACTGTTTGGATATAACCTGAAAGAGAGGCAAATTGTTACACTCATTTTCAATCATGCTATAAGTCTGCTTATTTAAATCTGAAATGTTTTGAATACATGTTTGTTTCCTGTWTCTTGGAGGTTAGTAAGAAGTCATCCAGGTTTTTCAAGCTGTTAGCCAAGAGTCTACAAAAGTCCTGCTGTGAATCACATGCTTTTATTGAACATGAAGTTTTCCTATCACTTCTACTTTTTCCCAAAGCACCATTTGGGAAAAGAAAAAACAATTAATTACACAGATGCTGTGTTCATTTTTGTGTATATACAAATGTCAGAATTGTTGATAGTAAATCAGGAAYGAAGTAAACTTCACTTTGGCCTAAGGTTTACAGAGCAGCTGTCATTACTCAAAGCATCCCCAAAGTGAATGGGAATAAATCAGTGATTTGAAATAATGTTAATTGAGTTAGTCTTCTGTTCTGTAAGTATGCTTTTCAAGTTGAAATGAGTTTTTTTGGTTGGTTTTTTTTTAAGGACAAAACACTAAATCAACCTTTCCCCATTTACTCTGTAAACTCTAACATCTAAACCTAAGGGATGTCCCTGGCTTGATCAAACTACTCAGAACAAAGATTTAGTTAAGCCAGAGTTAAAATAAAAGTACAGTTTAGAGATCKGCTGCTTGCTAATTGCACACACCTGGGAATTTAGAATAGTTTTCAGTTGGAATACTCAGCCATCTAGTATTTAAATCATTGCAGTTTGTCATGGATTCACCCCAGGCAGCAGCCACRCCCCACACAGCCACTCACTGACCTSTCCACCAGCAGGACTGGGGAGAGAATCAGAAGGGTAAAAGCCAGAGAACTCGTGGGTTGAGATAAAGACAGTTAAAGAGGGAAAGCAAAAGCCGAGCACACAAGCAAAGCAAAACAAGGAATGAATTCACTGTTTCCCATGGACAGACAGGTGTTCCGTCATCTCCAGGAGAGCAGGGCCCCATCACACRTAACAGTGACTTGGGAAAACAAATGACATCACTCCAAATGTACTTCCCTTTCTCCCTCCTCCCCCCACCTTACATACTGACCATGATGTCACATGGTCTGGAACATCCCTGTGGTCAGCTGGGGTCACCTCWCCTGGCTGTGTCTCCTCCCAGGCACCCCCAGTCTCCTCCYCAGCGTGGCAGTATGAGAAGCAGAAAAGGCCTTGGCTCTGTGTGAGCCCTGCTCAGCAATAGCAAAAACATCTCCACATTATCAACCCTGTGTTCAGCAYAAATCCMAAACACAGCCCCACACCAGCCACTGGGAAGAAAATTAATTCTATCCCAGCCAAAACCAGTACGCAGTTATATATTAGCAAAAGGGGGATGAGTGGCAGTGAGCTGAGAGATCTGGAAACCTGCAGTATTTGAAGATGGATGAGATCCTGCTACTATCAATCTTACTTGTCACAGGTGACTGAAAAGCATTGGATTTTGGCTTGCCAAGATGATGGGTTTATTACAATTCTCCTCATTCACTTCAATGTCTTTTTGACATGCATAAAAATTTTTTCTCTTAAATTGGCTGGATTAAGGGYTTTTTGGGGCGCTGAATTCATTTGGGATATTTTGGGGGAGAGTGGTGGTTAGTTTGGTTGGTTTTGTGGTTTTTTTTTTTTGTTTTTTTTTTGGTTTGGGGTTTTTTTGTTTAGCAAAAAATTAAAAAAAAAAAAAAAAAAAAAAAAAAAAAAAAAAAAAAAAAAAAAAAAAAAAAAAAAAAAAAAAAAAAAAAAGAAAAAGTATCTATATTGATACCTGAGCTAAAACTATAAAAGTTAGAAATCATTTAATTCAAGTAGGGGTATCTGCCTGTAGCTTTGGACCTGAGAAGAGAGAGAAACTTCCACAAAATTACGCATCTACATGGTGTATTAAAACCCTTTTGAAATCTATTTCATTATGATTATATTTAGTAAAAGACTTGAATGTGTGCAGTGTTATGATAGAACAGCTGCTATTGCCTGCAATTCCCACAAAACATGCCTTTTATAATGGAATCATTTCACTGAATTACTAATCAATACAACTTGGTGTCAGACGATACATAATAGAAATAATCTACTGTTTGAGAATTTCTCTCCAAATGGCAGCTCGCTAAGAAAAGAGGCTGCTCAGCATTGTGGTGTTTGTTTGCAACCACCAATAACACCAAACTTATGATTTGTGAAATCTGCAAAGAATTAAAAAAAGCTTAGAGCTGCCTAGCAATGCTTTTGTGATTCATTGCAGCCAAGACACTTCTAAGCCAGTTACCGATTTGTGATATCTTACCACAAACTTTATATGGCTAGGGCAGTAGCCTTGCATCATTCTCTGTTTCACACAGCATTCCCATTCCCCAGGAACCTAGGGACCTCAGTTTGAAATTCAGAGTCTTGCAGAACTCTGCAATGTTATTCAGTTTCTATTATTTCAATGTTAATGTATAAATATTATGTACTGGACTGATCTTTTCCAGTAATTATTAATTCACCTTTTATGCATTTATGTAAAATGAGGCAGGCCACTCTTTTTGAAATGGTGGCTAAGCTAAGGAACAAAATACATATAATGGTTTTCACATTTAGTAACTGTTGTATATCCATACTTTTYCGTGTAACCAATTTTGAGCGTCTTTTTTTATTTGTCTAAAACTTCATAGGGCTTTGTCTTGTGTAGATTTGACATGTTGGCTTTATTTAACTTTTCTAATTCTTTACAAATGCTTCATATGTTCAGCAGTTAGGTTTGATTTAATTTTGAACAACATAGCAGAATATATCCTGAAAATAAATCTGTCAAACTTATTGAAGGTTTATAGCTGATAAATGATACTGAATTGAYAATACCCAAGTTGCCAGTTATTTGCTAAACTGTCAACAGTTTATCACTAAATACCAAAATTCCAAAGAAATACAAAAACTCATTAACTTAGAGTTGTAAAATTTTCCATTTTTCTTTCAAAGGCGCTGTTCTCTTAAAGGTTCTTGTTCACACTGACAATTTCACCAAATGAACTCCACTAATTCACTATACTTGAAAAGTCTTTTAGAAAAATAACTCAGCATCTGAAATTGTGGGTGTTTACAAGATTCTTTTTTTCAGCATAACAGAAATTGCAGCAACCTATTTCAATTTTCTCTGCCCCAGATTCAGGAAATGATGCAAGTTAATTTCTGCTTGAAGTGCTCAGAAATATGGTACCTTGGAAAACCAAATTTTCCAGACTTGAGACTCTATGACTAGTCACACTTTAGTCTGGCTCTATGTACAGGTGMGAGTTCCTTTGAAAAGTAATTTAAAATATATATTTCACCTTTTAAATGGCAAAACCATGCTTAGAATCATTCCAAATCTTCTCATACTTAAATGAAACGCCCACGTAACAGACCATCCCATCCACTATTTTAATGAGATCTAAATCTGTCAAGGATTGTCAACACTCATCAGTGTAGACATTTTGAGGACTTGTAGGTGCAAAAGAAGTTAATTTTTTTTACATAAAAGCAGTATTAATAATACAATATCGTTAATAAATATTGATTGGTACTCATTAACAGAAAGGGCAGCTGGAAAAAAAAATCCTTTTACATTTCAGTCTTCAGGACATTGGTGGAATCCAGACCAGTACAAAATAATGAGCTTGCTTACAGTCGCTGTGTGGGAAAAGAGAAGAAGAGCTAGAGGTGATACTGCAGGAATAAAACAGACTAAGTAGGCATGACAGGAGTATGGGGGCTAAATGTAATGACAGGAACTTCATAACACATTCTTCATGAAAGTGACAGGAAAAGCAAAGGAGGCGAACAGCACTCTGCCAAAAGCACCTATTCAAATCCTGAAATTTGAAGGATAATTTTTGGTAGGACATGCATGGCTAAACTGCTGGCTTAAAAAAAAGGATAATTGAGGATTACAGGAAGAATGATACTAAAGACTGGAGATCATGAACACAAAACCGTGAAGATTAAGCAATCATAGTCTAAGTTGTGAAAGCATCTATTAAGTACTCCCTAGAGGCACTTATTTGATTAAAGTACTTCTGAAACAATCTCAGAAATTGGGAAGAATTTTAAATCTTGTATTTTTGTTCCTTTTTGTCAGCCCTGGATTAAATATATACACATTGTAAATATTTAGGGTATAGCTTTATATTCATCATAATGTATGCCAAACTCTGGCCTTTGGATTATTCCTAGCAGTGACCACACCTGATTAATCCRGAATTTCACTGCAAATCCTTCAATGCTGGGGATAGTGTCAGAAGGGAGTATGAGCTTAACATAAAGTAAGGAAGATCTGGCCAGGCTTCTTCARCCACACATTGAGTTCCTACCTTCTCAGATGAAAACAAGGGAAGGTGTGTCTTGGATTGTACCTGGAGACCCAGTACTACCAGATCTGCTACAGAGCTGGTACACATGAGCTTTCCATAAGTGTCAATGGCCAGCTCGCCTTAGATCCAAAGTAACAGTGTGGAAAACAGCAAAAGCTTTGTTTAAAGATGACCATGTAAATGGATGGGAAAAGAGATTACATGGAGATGGAAGGTTCCACTGGAGCAGAGGTGTTACTTGTGTYGAGAGTATTCAGTTTAGGAAGGCAAGGCACTGTCTGCCAGCTGGCATTTTCCARCACTTCCTTTAATCAAAGCATGACCAGGTTTGCTGTTACATGAAGCCTAGAGTGTATCATGTTGTGAAATACTGGAGTAAATGAAGTGGTGGTAGCTATATCTGGAAACATCTAGGGAAAGTGTAGATCTCTGAGGTCTAGAATCCATTTGTAGTGGTTTAACCCCAGCTGGCAGCTAAGCACCACACCACCTCTCACTCACTCACTCACTCACTCACTCACTCACTCACTCACTCACTCACTCACTCACTCACTCACTCACTCACCCCCGGCAGGATGGGGGAGAGAACTGGAAGGGTAAAAGTGAGAAAACTTCTGCGTTTAGATAAAGACATTAAATAAAGAAAGGAAAAGCCATGCACACAAGCAAAGCACAAAAAGGAATTCATTTACCACTTCCCATCAGCAGGCAGGTGTTCAGCCATCTCCAGGAAGGCCAGGCTCCATCATGCCTAACAGTGACTTGAGAAGACAAACATCACTCCAAATGTCCCCTCCTCCCTCCTTCTTCCCCCAGCTTTATACCTTGAGCATGATGTCACATGGTCTGGAATATCCCTTTGGTCAGTGTGGGACAGCTCTCCCAATTCCTTCAGGAGGCCTCCTGCCTCCTGTCTGGTGAGTTGGGATGAGGAGCAGTAAGGCCTTGACTCTAAACAAGCCCTTCTCAGCAATAATCAAAACATCCTGGTGTTGTCAACACTGTTTCCAGCACAAAACCAAAATATAGCTCCATACCAGCTATTAAGAAGATACACCACCCCAGCCCAAACCAGCACACTACTACTAATTCTGAAGAACCTATTTACTTAACAAAAAACCCAGTTGTGTTTTGTGCTCTCTGCGCTCAGCAGAAAGAAAATTTGGTCTCTGAATTGCAGATTTTGCCAAGATTGCCTATGTGTTGACAGAAGAAAACCCTCAAATGAGCAAAATGTGAAGTTTTATGTACACTGAAGCCTTTACAGCAGCTTATTGTATGATGGAACTTTGCAACATTTGACTCACCTTGAGAGATACAAAAGTGTAGGAATTTCCTTTCAGACATATTGTGAACAAGCAGAGCGTTTATTGTGACCAAATATTCAGGACAAGAGTTAAGGGGCATATCCAAATCCAGACACTTCTCCCATGCAAGCAACAGCATGAGGTTTTGAAGTTGTTAGTGACTCTGTTCCAGACACCATCCCCCAAATCCCCAGCAATAAGGCAACTGCATGGCTTAGGGGATTGGTAATCGGATACCTCACCTCCAGGTCATCATAGGTCTTTGGTTCAAGAGCAGCAAGGCTTTGAAATGACTTAAATGCCATTATTTAGAGTCATACGTGTAGAAGTGAACATATTTCTGTGTAACAAGCAGAAGATGTCCACATACAGACACAAACATTGTGACAGTTGCCAGCCTGTTTGAAACACTTGAATGACTGAATGTCAGTCTAACAGAGATTGATTAACTCCTTAATAACAGTCAAATTGTGTTTTGTTTTAGTGCTGCCTGTATAGGGAATGCATCGTGGTTTAGATATATTTATACACTATATATTTATTTTAATTTTATATATATTTATATTTTTATAAATTTGTATTTCCTTACCTTTTGTAACTGAGACAAAAGCCTGTGTTTAACCCTCCCTCTTTTTCTCTCCAGGTTGTAAAAGACTTTGAAAAGTGGTTTTGAATAGTACTGGAGGTAATCCAAAGCCAAATTTAATAGGAATTTTCTGTCTTAGCTGCTACAAATTCATCAAGAGCGCGTATGTGTTCTGAAGGTCTTCTTAGGCACCTTACAATATAGAAGAAACTTTCAGTGCATAATTTGAAACTTCAGCGCATCCTTAATGAGGATGCAACTGAAATAAAATTACTTCCAAGGTCAGTATTAATCTAGTATTTTTGGACCCAGACTGCAAGGCCTGTGCTTGAGCAGAAAAAAGATAGTTGATGCTCTCTGTTGAGGAACCAGGGCARGGGGGTGTAAATGGTCAAACAGAAACATGATGCCTTCTCCAGTGTCCTGTCATTGGTGGCTCTGGAAGAGAGAGGGGCTGGCTGGCAGGAACACCCTGTCCATTGGGCCGTACTGCCTCCCAGTGGGCATCAGCTACTTCTCTTTCGGGATAAAACGCAGAGGGATTTAAAATGCCTGGCACAGAAGCCACTGTCCTCGAACAGCTAATGGGGGAGTTCACAGACAGCGGGATTTTGGGTATCTAAAACCAAAATGACAAAACTCTTGATCATCTACCATGTGTGTAGCACTCTGTGAAATCACAGGTGTGAGCCTTTGCCTATGGCTTTGTGCAGAACATTACACCTTCATGAAAAAAATAAAAAACAAAACAAAACCAAAACCRATTTTGGCAGGCAACCTTCCAAATGTGGGTTCTCATCATACCAACTTGCACGCAGAGCTCTGTCCCCACCACTCTCACCTCTGAGAAGCAGCAGCAGAGCAGTATCACGTCCTGTGGCTCTGGAAAATTTAATTGTGCCCTCCATGCAGTGCTAGGAGTAACTTACTTTTTCTTCTTACTTTWCTTGTGTGTGCTGAGAGCAACAGGACATTAAAAAGGAATGACAAAAATGAAGAATGAAACAACATGAAGAAAGAGCACTGTTTGCTGCAGCAAGGTCTCCACAAAGGAGTGAAGAAAGAGTTGGGAAAATGCTTCTATACTTCTTTGACTGTGAAATTTTACTTTGACTGTTCTTCTGAAGCCTACACACACATTCCATTTGTCTATGTCTCATACTTTCATTGTACAGAATGGGAGAGAAAAAAAAAATCACGCAGTGCTATAGCACAAATTATATGAATAAACAAAGAGTTTTGTGTCTAGGTGTGTCCAGCTACAAAGGTCACTTAGGTGTGGGGTGTTTTTCTCCAAAGTTATCCTGTTAGGTGTGTAATATCCTGTTTCATTTCTGCAGTCTTATCATTGAAAGATACTGTTCAGAAACCTTGGATCTGATACCCTCCCAGTGCACCCAAGAAATAGAACTGAAAAACATCAGAGCAAGGGGATGGCACTGAATGCGCAGAAAAAACAAAAGTAGTATTACATTGGAAGTGTTGGTTTTGCTTCACTCTGGTTTTTGGAGAGCTTACGTTATCAGGTTTGTGTCTGCATGTGTGCACGTGTGACATTCCCTCAAAGGAGAAATAGGATGCCTAACTTTCCGCGCAGAAAATTAGTAACAAAATAACACACGAGCTATGGGGTTGATAGCATCTCTGTAATCTTGTACTTAAATTGCTATGCCCAAGAAAAATCTGTTGGCTTTCCAGTGCTACCGTACCCAGGCTGCACACAATAATTAATGGGCCTCCGTTACCCTACGCCTATGACAACCCCTAAAGTTAAACGCTTGCACCTTAATTTTCTCGGTGCCCAAACAGCGCTGCCTACCCCAATGGGAAAGCCCACTCGAGGTGTCCCACTCCTCCCCCCTCTCCCGGAGGGCTGCAGGCGCGGCTGGCCGCAGCGGTCCGGGGGGGAGCAGGTGCACGGGAGCGCACGCCCGGTGCTGCGCCGGGGCGGGGGCAGGAGCGAGCGGCGGCCCGGGGCGAGGCGCTCCCGCCCCGGTGCGGGGCGGCCACGTGGAACCGCTGCTCCCGCGGCGGCCACTTCCTGCTCCGCATCACCCCGGCCGCTGCGCCCGGCGGGGAGGCGAGCGCGCAGCCCGCAGCGGGGAGCCTACCGGGGCGGCGCGGGG